GCTCAGGTCACAATCTCATTGTTTATGAGTTTGAGCTCCACACTGGACTCATAGCTGTCAATGCAGAGCCTGCCTTGGATCCTCTGTCTCCCTGTCTCTGTCCTTCCCCTGCTCACACACTCTCTCAAATATAAACACTTTTTTAAAAATTAAAAATGATTTCAGTCATAAAACCTGATTTTATCCTTACCTTGTATTTTACTTTCAAACTAATTTTCCCCTAGAAGTTATGCCTCATAATTTTAAGCTCATTTTCTATATCTTATTTTGTGAACCAGTGATTCCTACATGTGAGTTTTGAACATAATTTTTATATGACATAACTTGTTGTTTAGCAGTGAGCATTAAGGACTAAGGAAGTCCATCACTGGGGAGCCTGGGTGGCTCAGTCAGGTGTCTGAGTTCAGCTCAGGTCATGATCTCACAGTTCCTGGGTTCAAGCTCAGGGTTGGGCACTGTTCTGACAGCTCATAGCCTGGAGCCTGCTTCGAATTCTGTCTCCCTCTCACTCTCTGCCCCTCCCCTGCTTGTGCTCTTGCTCTCTCTCTCTCTCTCTCCTCTTTCCAAAAAAAAAAAAAAAAAAAAAAAATCATCACTAAGGACCAGTGACCAGGACATCATTAAAGAATGGGGAAAAGCTGTATTTTAAAGAAAATTGATCTTTAAATATCCTCTCAACAAATAGTCTGGTTTTGTACTACACCAAGTGTATCCAGTTTACCTATATCTAGTGTACTAGGGCTTTTCACAATTAGTTTCCCTGCATAAATGTAAAAATAAGCAGCAGCCTCTGATTGAGTCATTATTGAATCAGTGCCTGAGACCTTAAAGTTGGCCGCAGACTTTAAGCACCACAACCTTCAATAATTTTCTATTAAAAGTGCTGTTGGGGCGCCTGGGTGGCGCCTCGGTTAAGCGTCCGACTTCAGCCAGGTCACGATCTCGCGGTTCGTGAGTTCGAGCCCCGCGTCGGGCTCTGGGCTGATGGCTCAGAGCCTGGAGCCTGTTTCCGATTCTGTGTCTCCCTCTCTCTCTGCCCCTCCCCCGTTCATGCTCTGTCTCTCTCTGTCCCAAAAATAAATAAAACGTTAAAAGTGCTGTTTAATTTAAAAGACATTTAATCCTCTGGGCAGATCATTAAAATTAATATACATTTTATTGGTACAATTTGTAAGTTTTCCCTCATTTTCCTATTTCCTGAAATCCATTTTTTTTAATGTTTATTTTTTGAGAGAGAGAATGTGAGCAGGGAAGGGGTAGAGAGAGAGACAGAGACAGAATCCAAAGCAGGCTCCAGGCTCTGAGCTGTCAGCACAGAGTCCGATGCAGGGCATAAACCCACGAGCACCGAGATCATGACCTGAGCTGAAGTTGGATGTTTAACTGACTGAGCCACCCACACATCCCTCCTGAAATCCATTTTGATCTGACTTTGCAATATGTTTGCAACTTGAAATTAATAAAAATCCTCCTTGCTTAAAAAAATAAAATCTGCAGTTGAGAATCATATTAGGTTGATCCATTCTTTCCTGTTTTCATTCTAGATTGTTGTATTTAACTTTTCTATACTTGGTTCTTTCCACTATTGGTAAACTGTGTCAGTTGACATTTGTGGAGTTGTTAGGGAAGCAACAGAAGCTGTCATGTTCTAGAGGCCAATGTTTTCATTGTAAATGGGACTGAAATTGGAATACTTCAAATAAAATCATTCTATATAGGGGCGCCTGGGTGGCGCAGTCAGTTAAGCGTCCGACTTCAGCCAGGTCACGATCTCGCGGTCCGTGAGTTCAAGCCCCGCGTCGGGCTCTGGGCTGATGGCTCAGAGCCTGGAGCCTGTTTCTGATTCTGTGTCTCCCTCTCTCTCTGCCCCTCCCCCGTTCATGCTCTGTCTCTCTCTGTCCCAAAAATAAATAAACGTTGAAAAAAAAAATTAAAAAAAAATAAAATAAAATCATTCTATATAGTAACACAGGAACAAAATGAAATTGAAACTATTCTCAGGCTTTATATCACTAGTAACAGCAAGCTTTCCAAATTTGATTTGTTTAGGCTTACATTTCAAACAAGGATTTGAAATAGTGGTCTATATCCTTAACTCTGCTTACTTACCTTTCACTTGCCTCTCAAACTGCAAAGTTGAGCATGTGCTGCATACCCACGACAAATAAATATTCAGTAGTTTTTTTTTCTTTTTTGTTTATTAGCAAGCTGAGGAGGGGCAGACAGAGGGAGAGAGAGAATCCCAAGCAGACCCCACACTGCCAGTGCTGAGCCTGATGTGGGGCTTGAACCAACAAACCATGAGATCATCACCTGAGCTGAACACTTAACCAACTGAGCCACCCAGGCACCCCAATATTCAGTACTTTTACTCCCCTCCTCTCTGTCTCTCTTCTTAAACTATTGACAGTGCCTTCTAGTCAAAACCAGTGGACTGATGTTGCCATGACATTATTGGAGTTTTGCAAGCATTGGGCACTCACCACCATTTCCTCACATGGGATCCAAAACCTCACCCTGTCTTGACCCTCTTTTTTCTCAAACTCTTTACTGATTGCCCAGTCTACAGCTGCCTCCTTTGCAGACTGGTGCTCCAGGGTTCTACCCTCAGTCTTCTTGTCCACATACAGGGAAATGTCATCCACTCTCATAACTTAACTTTTTCACCTCACCTCCTAGTCTTTAAAAACTCTAATGCACTACTGCTCCCTGCTGCCAAGTGAGAGAAGCCCAAACTCTTGAGCATGGCATAGATTCTTCTAACCATACAGTAAGGGCACATGATGGGCACATTTCTATATCCCCATTGTCCAGCCAAGTGAAACTCCATGAGCCCTCGATAAAGTTTTGTGGGAGGAAGGATTCCTCTAATTAAGCCAAATTTGAGTTTCCTCTTTCAAAATCTCCACCCCCTCAATTTCCTAGAATTCTTGCCCTACCCCATTCAGCAGCCTCCACAGGATTTTGACCTACATCTACTTACACTCTGTCTTCAGTCTAGAGCAAAACTTTCCTGCTCATCCCATCTCTCTGTCCCAACCCAATCCCAGCATCTACATTAGCAGAAAGCTGCCAGTGCATGGAAATGATCATCACCATCAAAATGGTGATACAAAATCTTGGCTACATGTTAAATCTATGAAGTTTGCTGATGACCTATAGCAGAATTATGCCATTCTTCCCGTTCTAGTTTTATACCACTTCACACTTGACATACGATGGGAAGGCAGAGTCTGGAGGTCCTCAAAAGACTATTTCTTTTTTGTTTCTAACACTCAATTCAGTTCCTTGAACGTAAGCGGACATTCAGAAAAGTGCACTCAGTAAGACTGCACTCAAGCTTACAATTTACCAGGAAAGATAAGCACATAATTCTAAAGTGTATGGTAAATGATAGTAAATACAGACCATGTCGTATGCCTCTTGTGGCCTGTAAGGACAACAAATTTTCAATAAATCCTTACAGAGTTTCTGGATGAACAATTCTAGTGTGCAGTGTAATGACTCCCACAGGAAACAAAACTCCACTGCCCTGCACTTTTCTCCATTGAGTTCTTTCCTCCATAGCTACACAAAAGAAAGCTGTCTAATCCACACTGCTTTTACATGACAGTTTGTCAAATTTTGTGTACAGTCATCATGAACAGGTTTCTCTTTGCAGGTTAAATATCCCCAGCCCTTTCAATTATGTAAAGTATTTATCACTATCCTAGTCACTACTCTGGAATTGACTGTGTCAGTGTCCTTAAACACATGTCATCAATTTTGAATAATGAATTCAGAAATGTCCTAATTAATCCATTTCTCGGGCTTGAAAGGCTTTGGAATTATTCTCAACTAGTCATCTTCTACATAACATTACCTTATCTGCATATGGCACTTTACAGCAGGCACATTTTCCTCTTCTACTTCTCCCACATCTATCTCTTCCTGGTTCAGGCTCATCACCCCAGTGGACACCCTGTGTCCATTTTTTTGCTTCCTTGCCTGCTGCTGCCATACCTGTACTCCTTACACAATACTGTCATATGTGGGTCAGCAAACACTCATTGAGCATCTATGATGTGCAGTGCTCATGCTTCAGGGCATTGCTTATGAGTAGAACAAGGCCTGTCCTTTAACTGTGGAGATGACAGCCTTCATCTGACTATACCACTGTAGAGGGTTGCATTGCAGCATGGGTGCACCCAGGATTGAGGGTGAAGAGGAGCATCCCGCCATAGGATGGCATTTGACTAAACTTTTAAGAATGGTTGGAATTAAAAGCAGAAGAGCATTCCGGTCTGAACCAGGGGGTAGGGCATGAAGAGTCTAAATGTACACTGATTTAAGGAGCTCCTGAGCAGAGTAGAGGAACAGAAGCTCTGGATGTGTAGCAGAATGAGCAGTAGTACTGAGTGTCCGTGAAAGGAAGATTAGAGCGGGTACCATTCTCGGTAGTCTGTTCTGGATGATCGGTAGCCTGGAAGAGGGGACTGTTATGCTCCCACTTCCATTCATTTCCAGAAATCAGTTGGCACTTCCATCTCTCAGTGGTTGAAGTCTCAACATTTGGACAGGAAGCTCTGCCTAGCAGCTCTTGAAGAGGTGGCTGGAAAGCAGACCAGGAGTACCCCCAGCCCCGGCAGTGCGACCTTAGACATTAATTTGTGGGAACCTGATTGTCAGGGCTGTGGCGAGGATTAAGCGCGATAATAGGTACCCAGTGTGGCCTTACTGTAAAAAAGTTACTAACCACTGGAATGATTTGGGAGGGTGGCACCCGCGGCCGCTCAGCGCCAAGCATCCGTTACCTGGGCGACAGCAGCCGCAAGGACTCTCGTCGGCGTCCCACTAGGCGTGTGCTAGCAGCTGGAAGACTAGACTCCGCACCGGAACTCAGCCACCGCGGACTGAGGCGGTGCCCAAGTCTCAGCGCCCTTTCCTCTGATTGGGTGGAACCAAGGGGCGGACGGACAAAAGAGGAGGTAGAGACTGGTTACTCCTGGAAAGAAGGCGGAGCCTTGTCGAGGAGAGAGGTGGTATTTGGCTGGCAGTGGTAGCCCCGCCCCCTCACCGCGATTTGGGACACAGACTTAGAACAGTCAGTGGAGTTCCTACGCCTCCTAGTCATCCCAGCAACCAGTGACGCGGCTCGCCTGAGGTCAACCACTGGCCAACTGGGGAAAGCGGGACTGCAGCGTGACCCCTTTTCCGAGCCGCCTCCCAGCTCCCCGTATTCGGCGGCCGAGCGCTCCGCCAGTCCCTTCCTCCCTTCTCCTTAGTCCCGCAGTCTGGGAGGCAGGGGTCGGCGAGCCAACTGAGTGGGAACCGCGTGGTGTACAAGGAGCCATTCGGCGACCGGTGAGGGGACTGAGGGGCTAGGAGGGCAGGGTTGGCGCGGGGCAGCGATCTCCAACTGTCGCCGGTCTTCGCCCCTCCGCTGTGGGCTGCTAGCGCCTGCAGCTGTTGCGAGCGCCGCCCCGGCAACGAGTGACGCTAAGGTGCGCTGGGCGGCCTGCTCCTCCCAGGCCTTGCCCTCAGCCTGTCCTCGCCCGTCTTCCCCCGGTCACCTTCGGGCCCGCAGCCCCACGACGCAGATATCACCAGGCTAAGACGGATTAAAAGGGCAGCTTTAGCTACCAAGCTCTGTCGGCGTTAATCACCCCCGATTCCTCAATACGTCTTTGGTGCCCTGTCTAGCCCTCAAGGTGGACTGGCGCCGTGGGAGAGGAGCTGAGGTCGGAAGAGTTTCGCCAAGCAACTCGTGACGACCACCGTTGACTGAAGCGCCCGGAATTGGCTGCGCTGCGACCTTCTCAGGTGTGGCGTTCCTCTTACCGTGAATAGTTGTGTACATCTTCCCGTTAAGTACGAGGCAACAAGTCTTAAAATGAACAACCAATCTTCGTGCTTGCTCTGAAAGCTCCCGGGGTTCGGCGTGGGGCTACGGAATGCCTACACTGCTCTAACCCTGTGAAGAAGGGTTCTTTGGGGGATCAGGGAAGGGATTTAAAAAGTCTTGCAGAACGTTTAGGATCCTTAGGGTCGAAGTCAGAGACAGACCACATATTCAGGATCCTTCTTTAGAGGAACTTTCCTGAGGAGGGCAAAACCTAAAACTTCAGCAACCGCAGTTGTCAGACTTACACATGTTTTAACCTTCTTTTCATATGAAACGTTATAATAGTTTCCTTTACTGGGTTCTCCCAGGCAGGAGTGTCAGACCCCTAAAGTTCCCTGTCCAAGGTCACACAGCTAATACTTATTATGGAAGAACCAGAATTTGGACACTTGCCTCTGTGGTTCCCCTATGGATCTTGCAGTTCTGTTTCAGTAAACCAAAGCAGAATATTGGCAGTACCTGCAGTAGATAGGGCTACGGAGGATAAGATGACTGGAGAGAGGCTTCCTACTCCTCCAGGAATCTAACATTTGAAAGACTTGTATGCCAGTTTAATACATCATGTTTAAAAAGCATTGAGTGCCCTATGTGTGCCCAACTTCTTGCTAGGCCCAGGGAAGGTTCAAAACAATATATATAGTCCCTTCTTATATCCCAGTTCTGGGAAGCTCTGCCCCCTCTGGGTTGCAGTTTTGCAACCGTGTGTCAAAGGAACACAGGGAATAGACTGCCCTACTATGTGTGCTCTCTCCCTGCCAACATCCGCACCTTGTCCACACTTGCCAGTTCACAGGAAAAAAATTGTGAAGGGAGAACTTCCAAAAGAATGTATTTGAATCATAATCAGTCTTGGGCACTTGGGATGGGAAGCCGCTGTCATTCCTATTTCCACCAGCTCCTTAAACATGTCAGACTGGACCTGAAGCTAGAAGGGGTAACTTCTTTTGAAGTACTGGACCTTGTTTCTTCTGTGGAAGAAAAGAAAGTAAGGAATAGCCACTCTGGTGCTCTAGATTCCACACTCCATCCTTACCTAGAAAAGGGGCTGAAACCTTCCCAGAATGGATGGGAATCACTGTTTCCTGTTACTTTCACTGATTACTCAGAATAAAATCAAGCAAGGGGATGGGCTGTGGGGTGTGAAGGCGCTCAGCAGAGCTTCTCTGAGGAGGGGCTATCGGAGCCAAGCACTGAGTGAAGGGGGTAATGGGCTTTGCAGGTGGAGCTATAAATGGAAAGGCCCCAAAGTAGGCAAACAATTTTAATAATACATTTCATTTGGGGCATCTGGGTGGCTCAGTCGGTTAAGTGTCTGACTTATGCTCAGGTCATGATCTTGTGCCTCATGAGAACTGTGCTGACAGCTCAGAGCCTGGAGCCTGCTTCAGATTCTGTGTCTCCCTCTTTCTCTGCCCTTTCCCCACTCATGCTCTCTCTCTCTCTCTCTCTCTCTCTCTCTCTCTCAAAAATAAACATTAAATTTTTTTTAAATAATACATTTCATTTGACCCAATATATACAAAACATTATCATTTCAACATATATATAATCAACATTAAACATTATTAATGAGATATCTTGCATTCTTTTTTCATACTAAATCTTTGAAATCAGGAGTGTAGTTGACCCTTTACAGCACATTTCAGTTTGGACCAGCCACATTTCAAGTGCTCAGTCACATGTGGCTCAAGACTATTATAGTGGACAGTACAGCAGGAACAATCCTCAGTCCCTCTCCTGTTCCAGTTTTACCCAGCTCTGGCTTCAAGATGGAGAAATTGTGAGATGATCACTTGCCTCTTCATCCTGCCCAGAAATGTTGGCCCAGCAGAACAGATAACTAGGGAAGAAAATCTTTGTAGTGACTGAAGGACACAACTCAGAAGAAAAAGGACTAAACTGCTCTCATAGTAGATTGTTAGTAAATGTACTAAATCCTAATTAATTACCATACTCTTGATCTGTAATATGTGATCAATTAGATATGGTATGAAATCCCTGCAAAATCTATTAAGACACAAAAATAAAGTGATATAAAACTCAGAAGCTTATTTTTAATCAAGTGTAAATGTTAATTTTTTCATTAGCTTATATTACCTGTTTTTTATTAATTACATATGTAGGATTTGTAAATATTTGTAAGTATTAGATGCTTGAAAGTTACTACTTTAAAATACTGAGCATTTAGGACTTTTCAGTAAATCACACATAATTACTTCCTTCCCTCTTTCCAAGCGCTCCTGTACTTTTTTTTTCCCCCTCCTGCACTTACTTTTTTTACACTTAAAATGAATTTGGTGGTTTAACAACTTCAAAACCCTCAATTGACAAAGTGGTTAAGACAGTCTAAAAATCTTTTTTTTTTGTTTTTTGTTTTTTGCACAGCAATTTTTTTTTTTTTTTTTTTTCCTTTCAGATTTCCTCCCCGGGCAAGTTCCAGCATGGGGTGAAGTACAGAAGAGTGACTTGAAGGGTGTATTCTGGTACTGAATTACCAAACCTGCTCCCTAGATCAGGGTCTGTCTTATTTCCACATTTGTAATGGTGCAGGGGTGGGGGGGGAGAATTGTATCTTTCTTTATATGTCACTCTTGTGCATTTGTCTTCCCTTCCTTGGGCATGTGCCCTGGGAGGCAGGGGGGCGGTTTCCCAGAAACTTGGTCTGAGAGGTGCCATGGTCCCTGCAGACCCCCAAGTAAAGTGGAACACACACCAGGGAATGTGCATTGCTCTCTTTGGCATTTGGGATCAAACACTGAGTCCTGAGGGAAGGTTTTATTCACGTGAGGGTAAAAGTTCTTTTGAATTGAAGACCAGCTAGAGTAAGCTGCCCAAGTGTCTGGGCTGAAAGCTCCCTATGAAAGAACTGAGAGACTCTCTAAAGACTGCTTTAGAGAGGTCTGCAGAGGGGCTCCTGCCCCTGCTTGCAGTTTGAATAAGATATCTGGGATTTAAAATACTGCAGACCAAAAAAAGAGAGAAAAAGTGTGTGGGACGGGAGGAATGTCATAGATGGGACAGAAATTTTGAGAGCAAAATGTAAATAGATGCTGAAGGTGAAAGAGTGATTCATGATACTTTAGTTTTTTAAATTTGAAAATGGCCATTAAAACAATATTCCCCTCTTCTTTCTCTCCCTGCTTCTGTCCCCTCTGCTCAGTTTAAATTCATGTTGTCCCTCTTCCTTCATCTTCGCAGGGTACAGAACATCCTGCTTCAAAGGCATGAGAAGAGAACATCCTGTATTGGCCACTCCTGCCCAATGTGGAGGGGAGCAGAAGCTCCTGAGCCCACCCCTGAAGGTTTGTGGCTTTCAAGACTTTTTTTTTTTTTCTTTTTTAAATGTTTATTTGTTTGTTTTTGAGAGAAAGACAGCCTGAGCGGGGAAGGGGCAGAGAGAGGGACACAACATTTGAAGCAGGTTCCAGGCTCTGATTTGTCAGCACAAAGCCTGAGGCAGGGCTTGAACCCATGAGCTGTGAGAAGTCGCATGTTTAACCAACTGAGCCACCCAGGCACCTCTCAAGGATTTTTTTCAATGGATCCTATTTATGGGATGTTTTAACCAGAGCTCTAGGTATTTATGATGTTTCCATCTGCCAGTAAGAAAATGATTGCTGACGTGTTTGCTTCCTCTCCCTGACCCGTTGAGTGATAGTCTATAACTCATAGTAACTGCACCTAATCTCCACTGAATTTAGCTGGGACCAATCCTTGGACCTTGAGGGAAGTAGTCAGTGATGAGGCCCACAGGAGGTTCTGTAAAGAAAGCCTGACTCTGCTCCCAGACAGCTACCTGGACCAACTTGTTAGGATTCAGGGATAACATCTGAGATAAAGACAATAGCAGAATAGATTCCATCCCCATAAGGGGCTTTTCTGCTATTCTGAGTTCTCAGATCCCTGGAGCTAGGGCAATGAAGGATGTCTGTAGAATGTTTGCAAACAGCTTGGATGAACTGAGAATTAAGAAGGAATGCTTCTTCCTTCTCCCCAGCTTTTCCTGAAAATGTGAAAAGCACTTCTAGGAAAATGCCATCAACTTTCAATATTATTTTTTGTGGACTACACATGTTCCTTTTCACCCCTTCCAGGGTTGCTTTCACCCAGGTCCAGAGTTGCTTTCTCAAGGTTAGGCCAGAGAACTTTGAAGCTGTGTACCAGTGTGGAGTGGTTGTTTATCAGGTATTGTCCAAAGCCAAAGTGCAGTACTTTGGGGTTTCTCAGATACCATCCTTTGCCCAGGCCCCAGCCCTTTCTGATACTTTTTGCCCAGGCTTCTGCTTACGTATGGGTTTAGGCTTCATCTCATTGCCCTCCTTGACCTTCCAGGTCTGGCTGGGTTCACACTGGTGACTTAGGAAACCAGGGTCTCAGAGGAAGGTTATCGATGTGGTCTAGGGGAGTTTTGGAAAACTGGTCTGCAGATTCTAGGTTCCTTTTCTGGTAAGCAGGCTCTGTGGCCCAGGGGCTTTCTCATTGCCCATCCCTTCTTGGTGTTTCCTAGTGTATCTCCAGGCTAAGACCTCTGGCCTAAGGACAGAAAACTGGCTGGGTACTCCTCATCCCCTCCCAAGCAGACTTTTGGAGGCAAACTCCCTCTCTGAATCCCTCCTGCCCTTTGTGGTGGCATGAAGACCTCCTTCCCCATATTTCTAGGAGTCCTATGGCTTTGCCTCTTCTTGGAGAATGGAATGCAGGAGATGGCCTAGCTGAGGAAGTTACAAGAAATGAGGGACTCTGTGCTCACCTGGCCATTCCCCAAGGTGTAGCTGTTACAGCTTTAACTGTAGCGTACAGTGACTTTCTCCCTATAGGGCTCGCAGTGAAGGGTGAACTTGGCTGCAGCGCACCCTAGAAAAAGACACAGTCTGCTTACAAGAAAAGGAACCTAGAATCTGCAGACCAGTTTTCCAAAACTCCCCTTCTTCCCTTTGCCACTCCCTTTCTAGGCCTTCAGAAAACGGAAAATAACACGCAGTTTGAGGAGGTGCACCCTGGCGTGGGAGTGGCACACATCCCTGCCAGCCTGCATTCCGGGGACTCCACCCCCCCACGCCCGGCCTGGCCCTCACCATGTTAGCTGCATCAGAGATGGCGGCAGCAGCAGGAAGGCCTTACATATGCAGTGAGTGTGGCAAGAGCTTCCGCTACAGTTCGGTGCTGCTGCGTCATGAGCGTGCTCATGGCGGTGACAGCCGCTACCGCTGCCTAGACTGTGGTGAGTGCTATGCCCTGGCTGCTGACCTCCGTGCGCACCGACGTGCCCATGCTGGCCAAACACTCTACATCTGCAGTGAGTGCGGCCAGAGCTTCCGCCACAGCGGCTACCTCGACCTGCACCAGAGTGTACATAGACAGCGCAGCCGCTCCTGCTCTTGCCGTGCCTGCGGCCGCAGCTTCCCACACCTCCCGGCTCTGCTGCTGCACCGGCGCCGCCTGCATCCCCCAGAGCGGCCCCGCCGCTGTCCGCTGTGTGCCCGCACCTTCCGACAGAGCGCGCTACGCTTCCACCAGGCGCGCGCACACCCGTGGGGGTCATCCATCACACCCACAGACCCATTGCACCGCTGCGCACAATGCCCACGGGCGTTCCGCAGCTACGCAGGGCTGCGGAGTCACGCGCGCGTCCACGTGGCCCGGAGCTCTGGAGACTCCACACCTCCACAGCCTCATGCTCCGGGTGCACACCAGTGCAGTGTGTGTGGGAAGAACTTTGGTAAGAGCTCAACACTAACACGACACCTGCAGATTCACTCAGGTGAGAAGCCCTTCAAGTGCCCCGAGTGTGGAAAGGGCTTCTTGGAGAGTGCCACGCTCGTGCGCCATCAGCGCACACACACAGGTGAGAAGCCCTACATGTGCGGGGACTGTGGGCGCCGGTTCAGCGAGAGTTCCACCCTTTTGCGCCATAGGCGCAGCCACCAGGGAGATCGGCCCCACGCATGCACTACATGTGGAAAGGGCTTTGGGCAGCGCTCTGACCTAGTGGTGCACCAGCGCATACACACAGGCGAGAGGCCCTTCCCATGTGCTGAGTGCGGCCGCCGCTTCAGCGACCGTTCTGACCTCACCAAGCACCGGCGCACACACACAGGCGAGAAACCCTACCACTGTGAGTTGTGTGGCAAATGTTTCACGTGCGTATCTAACCTCAACGTGCACCGGCGCAACCATGCTGGTCACAAGCCCCACAAATGCCCTGAGTGCGGCAAGGCCTTCAGCGTGGGGTCCAAACTGGCACTGCACCGCAAGACACACCTGGGCGAGCGGCCAGCAGAATGTGCTGAGTGCGGCAAGTGTTTCAGCCACAGTCGCTCGCTCTCACAGCACCAGCGGGCCCACACACGAGCGCGTGCCGCCACCGCTGCCACCCAAGCAACCGCAGGAGCTGCCCTCATCTTTGCAGGGCAGGCAGAACAGGAGAAACCGGACTTTTTGTGTCCCAGCTGAGGGAAACTTGCTGAGAAGCTTCTCTGGAATGGGCTCAGCAAGTACCAATATACTGCCACAGGGATGGTGGGGCAGCTCTGCAAATGGGAGTCTATAAAAACAGCATGGCTGTCTGTCACCCCTTGTCATGCCCCTACATCCATATCCCTTGTCAGCTCTTCCTGTCCATCCTTCCTGCTACCTCTGGGGTATAGGTGCAGGGAACTGGGAAAACCTAGACATGGAAGAAAGCCCAGGTATTGGTGTGTTCCCATTGCTGCTACTGTGCCCTCAAATGTTTTCTTCCTGGTTTCCCACCTGTATTGTCTTCTCTTGTCCCATCCCCTTTTTCCAGCCTGAGTCTCCTGTAGCTCTCCTTCCTGGATACTTTTGTTGTCCTGCCTCTTCAGGTAATGATCACAGGGTGGCCACAGGGACAACCCACCTGCCTTGCGGTCTTCTTGCCTCCTGGTTCCACTTGACAGCTTCTCTGCTGCTTTCTCCCTGGGCTCTGAGAGATGGGAAATTTTTAGGCAGAGATGATGAGATTTCTCATTTCTGTGAAAGGCATCCTGCCATAAGCAATCAGCCTGCCGCCCAGCAGAGAAGGCCCACTCCAGTGAGGGTGGGCAGGAGCCCTCAGCAAAGCATCCACCTGTCCCATGGGCCAGACCTGATGGTGTCCAGATCAAGGTCCCTCTCAGGACACTGTTCTCTAGCTAGGTGGGCTACATTAGCTTTGGGACCTAGACTTAGACCACATGGATAAAGCAGGATACTGCCAAATGAAACATCAGAATGTTATATCCAAATCAATCTTGGAGCCATGGGGAAACAGCTCCACAGAGGCAGTAGTGCAGGGTAGAAAATCTGGAGTTGTCCAGTGATTTGCTTATGGCTGTTGAAATAAAGAGTTGTTTGTTTGGGTTCCAGATACCAAGAGCCTCTTTTCTCAAAGCTTGAGGCTGCTGTCTTTGCAGACTTCAAGAGTTATCCAAGGGCCATGCTCTTTTGAAGTTCCAAGATATCTTGTCCCCTCCCAAGTGATCTTGCATGTAGAGCCCCCTTGATTTTGCACTGGAAGGCAAGACTCTTAAGGCCTATACACTTGGTTCTCAGTGAAGAGTACAAATGTGGCTCAGGCTCACATACCTCCATTCCTGCTCCAGCTATCCCTCTGGAATGACCCAGTGCTCTGCATACTGTCACAGCCTGCCCTGCTTGAGCACAAGAATAGGTATGACACTCAACTGAAAAGGACTGCAAAGTGTCAAACCAAATTGGGAAAGAAAGCTAGGTCCTTGAGGTAGGGACCTACAGAGAGAGAAACAGGGCCTGCACCTATGGTGCACTCAGGCACATTCTAGCAGAGCCTGCTTCCAGAGGAATAAGGATTCCCATTCTTCAGGTGCCAAAACATTCACTCTGCTCACACACAACTGTAAAATACTGAGTTTATTCTGTTGTTTAAGAAGGCTAAAGTAGCCTGTCTTGGTTTTTTTTTTTTTTTTTTTTTGCCCCCCCCCCTACACTCCCTGTCACCTTAGTTTCTGGGGACTAGGCATCTGGCCCTTCTCTTCCTTGCTCCCCTTCAGTCCCTAGGGTCTGGCTTCTCAGAGCCCAGGAATGCTCACTGTTGATGGAGTGTGGTCAGAGCTTCAGGAACCAGAGAGGGCCTGGACTCATCATCAGACCTCAGGGTCACAGAGGCAGAGATATTGGGGCAGGGTTCCAAAGGGCCGGATGACTCCTGTGGAGCTGGGAGCAGGGCTGGATGGCTTTTGCTGCAGTGAGCTGCAACGCTGTCTGGCTTCTCAAAACGCTTGCCACAAAACTCACAGGGGAAGCGCAGAGTAGCAGCTGTCTCTGCATGCTTGCGCCGGTGCCAGTTCAGGGAGGCCTTCTGGCGGCAGGTGAACCCACAGATCTCACACCTGAGCCAGGGACAGCGGAGGGAAGGACAGTGCTTCAGCCCATCTTGACTTCCCCATGGCAGTTCCCCCGCTCCAACCCACAGCCCTACCTTCCCACCCATACTACCTCCCCCACACTCACTGCAGGGGCTTCTCTCCAGTGTGGATGCGCCGGTGGATGACGAGGTTGCTGCTGGTGCGGAAAGACCGGGCACAGAACTCACAGATGTAGTCCCGGGTGTCTGCAGGTGCACAGGTGACACCCTAGCATTCATCCCCAGGCTGTGGCCCCTCCTCAGCCCAACCCACCTGCCAACCCTCACAGGAGTACTGTCCCCATTCAGCCTGCTTATCCCACTCCTCTCAGCCCCCAAAAGTGCCCTGTGGCTGTCAGCAGCCAACCTGTTCCTTTTTCCCTGAACCTGCCAGCACTAACAGCACCTGCCCTTTGCCCTTCTCCAGCAGCTCTCACAGGCCCACTGTGCTTTTTCTCCTGTACCTCCAAGCCTCAGGGCAGGGCATACTGAAGGTATCATCACTTCTTGTGGCATCCTTTAGACATCTGTCTCACCCCCACCTGTTGGACGGCACATGTATGCTTATAGCCTTCTTCGCCATCACTCTACCACACTGCACAAATCTCTGGCCCCAGGCCCTCTCCTCAGCCAGCACTCCATATTTCTGTTCCCTGGTCTCCCTGTCCCTGGTCTGCCACCCTTTTCAGAAATTGCAAGCATGCCAGTTCCAGCAAGGGCCTTCTACTACTTTGTCCTGCTGCAATAAGCCTGTGATTCCACGCTGCCAGTCCAGCAGCAGGCTGACTTTCCACTGTGCCCCTCCACACTCCCGTTCCAAGGCATCTTTGTAGCCTTCCTTCACTCATACTACCCATTCACTGGCCCCTCTCTTCCTCAGCTGGACCTGTTTGGCTAAAATCCAACTTAGGGTAAACAACATTTGGCCCGATCCTGCACAGGTGTGCTAAGGGAAGTAGAAACAGAATCCACAATCCATGCCCCCCACCCACCCTCCAGCCTCTACTTTTCATCCACAACCACAAGTCTAAAGAGTCCACCATATGCCTCTGTATTTCACTCTCTCACTCACAGGAGTCCAATAGACAATTATTCCATACTACCTCCTCTCTCTGCCAGCCTCATTCAGCAGTGATCTTATTTTTCAAAGTCACCAAGAAGAGAAAAGCCAGGAGAGAATACCCACATCTTCCTCCTTATCTAATCTATCACCAAACTTGTTTGTGACCATTTATGTGAATAGTTGCTTTACTGTAGCCACCTTCCAATTGTGCAGAAACACACCATTTCTCCCTGACTGCAGGCTGCCCACCCCACCTAGGCATCAGTAACCTTTACTCTCAGTGGGATCCCTTTCCCCTCTGTGCCCCCAAGCTCACAGCTCTCCAGCTAAGACCCCATTTCTCTACTTGTCTTCACAGCAAAACTCCAAAGAGTAGTCCATATTCTCTATCTCCACTTCTTTAGCTCCTCTCTGCCTTGAACTAATTCGATTCTGGCTGTCCTCTCCCTTGTCACATGCCACCTTGTTATCTAGTCAAAGTCCTCATCCTCATCTTACTCCGTCTTATAGCACTGGCACAACCCACCCTCTGTCTCTCCTCCCTGGAGCAATCTCTCCACTTGGTTCCTCAAGTACTGCTCTCTTCACTTGCCTCACTGGTCACTTTGTAGCTGCCCTTTCCACATGTCCCATTCATTACTCTTCTGTACCTACATTCACTCCATGGAGGTATACTCCACCTTCAGCAACAAATGTGCTTGTGAAGCACCCATGTGCTTGTGATTAACACTTTTTCCCCCTCCCCCCACCATCTCCAGACTCCAGATTCATATCTTCTGGGATGCCTAAATTATCATGTCCCAAATAAACTGTCCCTTTCCTAAAGCCTCTCTTAATTTCAGGAAATCACATCACCTCTTTCCAGTTGCTCAAGCTGGAATCCTTCAAGTCAGCTTGACGCCCTCCTGCCCATCCACCTGTGGCCAATCTGTCCTTCTCACAACAGCCCTTCTAGCTCCACTTTCACACTCACATCAGCCTCCAGCCACTTCTTATCAACTCAACTGTACCAGCGTGTTAAAGCTGCCATCACTGCACACTGCACATTCCTACAGCCCCATTTCTCCACATGGCAGTCACAAAGTCAGTTTTAAAGTCAGTTGTGCCCCTTTTAAAGTCAGTTGTGTCGTTCTGCTACACAACACCCTGGGATGGTGCCCATCTCATTTAGCCAGAAGCCAAACCATCTTTGATGGTAGTGTTAGAGGTCCCTGCTACCTATCTGACCTCTCTTCCTTCCTTTCTAACTTCCTGGTCCCCTCTCCATTCCTGGTACATTCCATGCAGATGCCAGTTCAGGGCCTCCCCAGGCCTGCCCATAGACATGGACAAGCCTCTATTCCTCCCTTCACATAGGTCTTTGCTCAAAGGAGCTTCCCTTTCTACAAAAGAAACTCCTCTCTCATGCTCTCCATCCCTTCCCTGCTTTCACATCTCTTTGTATCCCTGTTATCACTAGAGTGGATGCCTCTGTTCGCGTTTGTATCCTACACCTAGAACAGTCTCAAGCAGGCAGGTGCTCAACACACAGAGAGTTGAGTGTGAGTGAGAGTCATCCCACAGAGGGGTGTGATGGCACCTGCAGATAGGAGGTGATAGGCCTCACAGGGCAAGTGAAGGGACCGCCAGGGGGAGGTGACAGAACCCACATGGAGAAGTGAAGGGACTCACGGAAAAATGAAAACACCCAGAGAGAGAGGTGAAGGGACCCACAGGAGAGGGAAGTGAGGAGGCATTTCTACCACTCACCACTGTGCAATTTCACATGCTCCTTCAGGTGTTTCTTAAAGTTGAAGGACTTCCCACAGGCTGGTTCTGGGCAGGAAAAGGACTTTTGGTGGATGTGCTGGTACTTCTTGTGGTGCTAGGGAAGGAAACAGGTGGTCTCAGGGAGACCACCAGAGCTGACCCAGCAGGCAGGCTCCTCTGCCCCCTCCCCATCCCCCAAAAGTTCTGTCACCACCAGCTCACATCATCCTGGCCAGTCCTCACCTGTATATAAGTCCACCATCCCATCCTGACACCAAACTCTGCCCTCACCCTATTCTGTCCTTGACTTCCATTACCTCACCTTTTTGCCACAACCTTCCTTACAATGACCAGTTCCCTGAACAAAGTGCCATTCTGGTGACACTCCTGGTTCCCTAACCATGGATTTGCTGTCTGCTGGGAATAAGAACACAATTTGGGTAGGTATGATTATCCTCTTTAATATCAGTATTAATGTACAATAATATCACCCAGATTGCCTACTTTATTGCTAACCATGGGTATACATTATATGGTGTTTTCCTAAATCTTCTTTAGAAACACACACACACACACACACACACACACACACACACACACACACACGTGTATGCTTTCAACCTGGAACACTTTTAGGGATTGTGTGTTCTTCTTTAACTCCCTGATTATTTGTTGGAAATATTTCTCCTGTCTGACCTAATGTAACATTCTGGCTCACTAAATTCCATGGGCTTTCCCCTTATCTATAATCCCGCTTTACCATAGTTAAACTGCTGCTGGTGGCTGCTTCAGTGTCCTCCATTAACAAGCTCAAGTGCGTTTGACTAGCCCTGGTAAAGTTCTTCTCAGCCCAGGGATTTCCTGCCCAAATGCCTTCCACCCTTGCCTCACCATTCCTCTGGTCTGGGGTCTCTGCCTCAGCACTTGGGTCTGGGAGGGCTCTGGATGAGTGTGGGGGCTGTGGCCCTTCCCTCTTTGTGCCCCAAACCTCTCCTGCAGTTAGGCTGGGGACAGGACCATCTTCCAGTCCTCTAGCACTAGAACTGCCTGCTCAAGCAAACAGGGCCAGGTGGCTGAGTGTGGACTCAGCAACCCCAGCACCGTCACACACTAGCTAAGGAGTCTTGGGAACTGCTTAACCATTTTGTGTGCTTCAGTTTCCTCATTTGCAAAG